CAGATCTTGCAATTTTTCCCTGACTAAATAGCTACATATATATATATATATTTTTTTAATCAGTGTTCTTAAGGATGGATTTTATTTGCTTTAACCTAAAATTTTCAGAAAGTGTAACTCTAGTGCAGTATACCATACCTAATTTATTCTTTGCATTTTTACAAAGATAGTTAGTTTAGTTATAATATTTACATTCATCCTAATATTAATATTTAGACAGGAATAATATTTGAGTTGATTTAAGTATTGTGCATGCATTATATTTCATATTAAGTTATTTTCAAAATAAATGAGCTAATTTGTTTCACAGTCAAAATTAATGACACAATTAACATAAACAAAATTCATATTGTTGAATGTGCCAAATATGGTTAACACTTTTCCAATCATTATAAACCCTATGATAACATAAGATTTTATTCTTAGAGAATTGAGTTTTTCACCACTTAAAATTTGACAATGTATATTAAATAATTAAGCATAAGACAAGTTATCTGAAAATATTTGTTGAAATACATACCTGTACATGTGAAGAATTTAGATTCACCCACACTAAGCTCTACTTTGCTAAGTGAAATTGTCACTTGAAGAAGAGCTGAAAAAAATGTTAAGTAACAATTATTAGGTTGTCAATATGAATTCTAACATTTTATTATATGATCTACAAACTACATCCCCACCCTCAATTTTTTTATTACCTGTAAAGAGCAATGGCAGGTTTATAAAAAATGTCTGTTACATTGTATTATACATTTCAAAACCAGACCAAATATAGGACTTATTCAAGTTAAGATTCTGAAATGTGTTTGTCAAGTAAATGAGCAAATTCATACTCAGACAGATGTTCTGAATTTATATGCTAGGTTCAAATATTCTACAAGATTGGGCACTAGCTAATGAAAATGTTTGCCTCAAATTTGGAAACTTGTTTGAAAGAGTAAATTTTAAACTGTTATTGCTACAAACATCTAAATTAGCTACATTTTGACTACCTACTAAAATATTTCCATCAAAGGAGGTATACACAGGTCAAAGAGGGAGCACTGCATAGGGAAAGGCAAATAAACATTGATTATCACAA